ACTGGGTAATCCACGGATTCTCCCTGGTGAACACTCAAAGGACTGCTGATTCTCATCAATAGCACGGAGGATGTTTTGCAGGCTGGTATCTTTGAATGTGAAGGATATTTTATTAAGCTCAAGGTATTTTCAGGGAAAGCTGGTTTGTGAAAGGTTTCCCTCTGGTAAGTCTACTTCCTAGGTTCTCCCTCAACATACACCCTGGGCAAGTCAAGAGCATGGCCCATAGGCTCCAGCCTCCAGAGACAAGCTGGCTGACCCTTCTGATCTCAGGCACAAGGTTCAAAATTCTAACTAGTGGAAATGAATGCAATCTAATACAATCTAATATTTACACAGATCATTAACTTCATACTGCCTTGCATTTAGTAGGTTCCCAATTTGATGAATTTAATTGAACCAGTTGTTTTACAAATCAGTATAGCAAAGTAATCTCTAATGAAAATTTAAGCATTTTAATTTTTAATCCTACCAGTAAATTGAAATACCAATTTCATTTCCCAATATCAATCAGTTCCTTCACTATTTATATAATGACCACTACATAACTTTTGGGGGTTCACACAGACACCCTCTTAAGAATCTGATAAAAACAAGACCCTATCACCAAAAAATATATACTTAGAAACACAGAGAATTTTACATACAATTTCATGGGGTTAAGAGGTCCCTAAGACCTACCCATGATTCAGAGGATAAAAATGACTGGTCTGAAAATACAAATGTATAAAAGTAGGGAAGGTGGGAGAATGGAAGACAGGACAAAAAGGAACATGGAAAAGGCTGGGAAAGGGGTGAGGGGAGGCGGGACAGGCACTCCAAAATCAGACACTGAACTGTGCAGCGCTGTACCCCAAAGTGCGCTCACCTCTCAGATTTCATTTCATCTTTACAGTAATTCATTCAACCAAAAAGTTATTATTACACCCCACTTTAAAGTAAGAAAACTACAATTTAAATTGGTTAAGAAAGATGCCTAAGGTCAAGTACTAGTGCATGATGGAACCAAGCCCTTGACCCACATCCTTGAGGTTTTTTGACACACCACTGGCTCCTAAGCATCAGAGAAGACAGAAGAAAGGACATAACAGAGAGAAAGAAACTAAGAAAATAAAGACAAAGGAACTGGGTATGGAAAAATAATGTGGTAGAAAGATTAAAAAGGGAAGAAAGAGAATAGAGATAAGATGAAAATGTAAGCAGCAGACAGTAAGGGGGAAATAAGGGCTTTCTGTCATCTTTGACGTTATAACAAGAAACTGCCTTCCAACTTCCAGCAGTTATAAAAAGGAAGAAAAACTCTGTTCTCAAACCTCAAAACCTAGAAAATTATAGGATACTCATTCAGATCATAAAAATATCAAAGAAAGAAAAACTAAAGTAGGAAAGGGTAAATAAAGACATAAACAAACCCTCTCCGCTCCCCTCCCCACCCAAAAAAAGGAGGCTGAGGCCTTCTGATGTTTCAGGCAACCGTGTGGCATGGGACCCTACAGTTAATGTGGAGGTGGCAAGAGTGCCCTTATACATTTGCCTGCTCTGGGCCCACAGGTGAGAAAGGAGGTTATATTGTCCTAAAACTGAAACAAAATAAGCATCCTTGTTTCTGTCCTGGCTGGTATAGCTCAGTGGGTTGAATACCGGCCTGCAAACTAAAGCATTGCGGGTTCAATTCCCAGGCAGGTCCCCAGTTGCGGTTCGCTACAGGCAACCACGCATTAATGTTTTTCTCCCTCTCTTTCACCCTCCCTTCCCCTCTCTCAAAATGAATAAATAAAATCTTTGGAAAAAAAAAAAAGAATCCTTGTTTCTAACATTAGCCTTTCAGAGTGATAGAGATTATGACCTTTTTCTTAAAGGTTGTTAGAAGCCACAACCACTGCTTTAGATAAAGATGATTTGTAAACATTCTTTTATTAATTTTTGTTTCTCCTCACCTAAATGAGAGGTGTTTAAATTGTTATCCATGGGAATGACAAAGCAGCTTAAGCTCTAATGGGTAAGACTTTGAGGAAAAACAAAAAAACAAAAAAACAAAAAAAAAAACCCAGTATCTCCATAGAGTATCCAAAACCTAACAGGAAACACTTCCTATGTTTAAAAAAGAAAATCCAGCAACAAGTGGCAAAGCGAACAACATCCCAAGACCGTACACCATCTCCGGAAAGTAAACCTGACTGTCCCGAGTCCTACTGGACACAACATGGGCTTCAAAACAGAGACTGAAAAGCAAATCTGCAGTCTTTGCCCCTCTGGCCAGGCTACGGTTCCCAAGGGGAGACAGGAAGGCAGGGTGTGTCTGGGGCAGGCTCTGGTTTGGAAAGGAAGAAGGCATCTGGGGCTGAATCTTGAGACCTTGCTAGCAGAGAGTAGAACAGCAGCACGTTCAAGACACAGTCTGCCTCACTTCAAGGTGAGCAGAGTCCTTTAACGAAAGCACAAAGGACTCTGTGGAGAGCTTGGCTAAGTCACACTGTTTCTGGGATAAGGAGGGACAGATAGAGTTGAGATTTATCCTCTTCCCCAAAAACGGAGTTGTTTGCACAAGTAGGAAGTCAGACATCAGGAGACAACCTCCATCACAGACAGAAGAAATATTAGGACCACTAGCAGGGATGCAGTTTATATATTCAGACCTACACATCCTGATGTAGAACAAATAGGTTGTGGCAAAATTTGAAAGGCTATTCATGGGATGGAGGGGTTAGTGGAAGCATAGAATGATGGGTAAGTGGCACCTGCAGGCAGCCTGTGTTTGCAGCCTCTCCTGCATACTCACTGTCACCTGCTGCGCCAGAATCTCCAGGAGTGGTGATTGGGACTGAAAGACGTGTTTCTTCCTCTGCCCACTTTTTGCTATGACCCTGAGATCTACACTCATCTTCTACAGACACAGGCAACTTATGAAACCCTGGAGCAGTACTTCTGCAGGTAAAATGTGTTTGAAAGCCTTTGTGTCAGAGTGTTTTGAAAAGGAATTTCTCATTAATAGCCTTACACAGCATATTAGCATTTAAATATTCAGAACCACTATCATTCTAAAATACACTACTTACCCAATAAAAGAATTCCAATCTAAAAAAATGTGCATGGAATGGAGTGAGGGAGAAACTCTTGAGGGAGAAACACCTATAAGTAATACTGAAGCTCGTAAAAGATCAGTAATGAGCTCTTTAAGAATTTGTTGGCAACCTTTAAATAGTGTTTCATTTCAAACAGCAAATGTCACCATGAGTGCTTTTGGTCCCAACAGACACCATTTTTAAACAGGTCACCTTCTGAGAAGTTGAGACTACAGCGCATCTATGAACACAACTTTAAAATACACCAAGCATAACAGAAATATATTTGTTAAGATACTGGCTTGATCAGTAAGTATAAATGTAGGGGGAGTGGGGGACAGTGTAGAGAGGGTGAGATTTTTTTGCTTTGCTGTGTGCTGTTCGTGAAGATTCTGAATTTTAGCACAGGAAAAAGGCACCCTCAGGGAGAGGTGCCCTCCACCCTTGGGTTTCTACAGGTGAAGAAAATGAAATTATTTCCTTGAGAAGAGCCTCAGAACCACTGAGACCTCACCTCTTTCTGGTGTGATTCTAGCCCCTAAGAAGGTTGCACAGAGAAAGCTTTCCCAAGAAAACGATCCAGTCTCACAATGCTGTCTGGGCTTTTACTGCACAGGCTTTGTAGTTGGAGAGGGAGGCTGATTCAATGTGTGCCAAGCATAAGGGCTCCAAATACTAAAGAAGAACCTTGGAGATTATCTCATCCAACTTCCTCATTTTACAGAAGATAAAAAGATGACCCAGAAAAGCAAAAGTAACCGGGCCAGAGTTCCACATCAGGTGAGAATGGGTTTCTAACAGTAGCACTACTGACACATTTTTGGACCAGACACTTCTTTGTTGTGGGGGGCTGTCCTGTGCACTGCAGGATGTTTGGCAGCATCCTGGCCAGTAGCAACCCCCCACCCAACTGTGACATCAAAAAGTGTCTCAAAACATGGCCCAATATCCTCAGGGAGTGGAGGGGGGGGATAAAATGGCCTGTAGTTGAGAACCAGCACTGGGTCAGAAACTGGTACAACCAGCAACCAAATCCCTCTCACTTTGAACCTGGTATTCTTTCACTATGTCAACCCCAGAGTGTTTCAAATAAACATCTGGAACCAGGGAGAACAGATTAATGCATTAATCCATCACTAATATTAATTACATGTCAAATGATGTTATTAAAAAGCTCTTAAAAATGAGTCTTAAAGATATGAACAAACTGCATTTCCCCACCTAATGGTATGTGCCCAACATAAATATAAACACACATTTGCATTTATATTTACATGAGGCTGAAACTATGGAATCTATAAAACAATGAGTCCCTCATTTTTGGTTGGGCAAAATAGAATCACGTCATGTTACAAGATACCTCAGGGAGAAATTCCTCTACTAACAGTAAAATTTCTTACCACCCTAGACCAACTTACTACATGTTGTACCTAATCATAAATCAATGTTTTTCTTAATTAACAAGAAGGAACCTCACTGGCAAGTTCTTTAATCATCTTATTATAAAGATAAGGATCTCAGTTCATGCCCTGAATGGTGTGGCTCAGTTGCTTGAGGGTCACCCTGCAGAGTGAAAGGTCACCGGTTTGATTCCCAGTCAGGGCACATGCCTGGGTTATGGGCTCAGTCCCCTATTGGGGCATGTGAGAGAGGCAACCAACTGATGCTTTTCTTACATACTGATGTTTCTCTCCCTCTCTTTCTCTCTTCCTTCTCCTATCTCTAAAAATAAATAAATAAAATCTTAAAAAAAAGAAAGAAACGAAACTCAGTTCAAAGAGGTAAGGTTTCCTAAAACAGTGCTTCGGGATCAGGCCAGATTGCTTCTTAAACACTGACAAAACGATCAGGCTTAAAAACACACAGGACACCCAGCTTCTACCACCAGCAGCAGCCCCTGAGTTGGAGTCCCAGTTAACTGTAACGTTCTAACATTACCTGTTTCTCTTTTTCCGGTGTTCTCTATTAGAATTTTCTGATTCACTACCACTGCTTGTGTTACAGCGTGAGCGTGACCTGAAGACAAAATAAAAGCAAAAGGAAAAACCCTCATTTAAGACAAAAGAAAAATTTTAGAACGGTTCATGTTGGTTCTCTGGAATTAATTCTATAGTAAAATTACTAATCCAAAAATAAATTTTATCCCTTCCCCATTGTGTTTCTCAATTCAGTCATACATTTAAATGAGTCTAAAGAAATGTGAAAGTAGATTAAGGAAAATGGCACTAAGCTCCCAGAAAGGACCACAGAACCAAGCACTTGCAACAGAAATCTGACATGCACAGCTCTATGCCCCTCTGGCACACTACGTATGGACTCGGAGTCCTGCCAGACCTCCACCCTTCACGGAGAGAGCAGAGTTTATTTCCCATGCCCTTGAATAGTGCTCATCCTGTGACTGATTTTACTAAAAGAATGAGGTGGAAGGGATACTCTGCCTGTGCTGGGACTATCTCCTAACAGGGCCAGTAGCTCCTGCTTCCTCCCAGACACCATCTAAAATAGCCTAGGCTAGCCAGTAGAGAGACCATGGATTCTGCCAAGACACCAGATATGAAAAATGCAGCCTCGGCCACCATCTAACTGAAGCTTCATCTGAGACTAGCCAGACTAACTAAAGAACTTCCTGTTCAATCAACAGAATGATAAGAGATCTATATGGTTATTGTTGCTTTAAAATACACCAAGTTTGCCCTGGCCGAGTAGCTCAGCATCTTCCCAATATGCCAAGGTTGCAGGTTCAATCCCTGGTCAGGGCACATACCAGAATCAACCAATGAATTCATAAATAAGTGGAATGACAAATCTCCCCCCCGCCCACCAATCCACATACCTCTCTTCCTTCCTCTCTCCCTCCTTCCCCTCTATAAAATAAATAAAAATAAAGTAAATAAAATAAAATACACCAGGTTCTGGAGTGTTTTTAACACAACAATAGATAAGTGAGACAGCTCATGCGAGATGCAGGTCCTCTGAAGAGCAAGAAAAAAAGAGAAATTGCTAAGGATGCTACAGAATAGAAGACTGAGAACCAGTTAAAGTCAATTTGAAAGTTAAAAAACAAATTTACCATACTCTTAAAGCAGTCACTAATAAAACACACCAAAAAAGTCCCCACTCTTGCCTCAGTTCTGAGCTGTGCTAATCTGCTAATCCTTCCTCCCTCTCCCAGACCCTCCTTCCCATTTGGAGTGTTTTGTTTTGTTTTGTTTTGTTTTACCTCCTCCTTTGCTTTAGATCTGAGTCTTCACCACTGTTATGGGCTTTCCTATGGAAAACAAATAAATGAAGACATTAAAGAAAATAGAAAATTATCAATTGGCTAAGGAAAGCACACCAAAATGAGTTTTACTTCACTTAATGTGCACCTATTACGTATTCATTCATTACCAAACATTTAAAACACACATACATGCCCATCCCTATGACAGGTCCCAGAAATATACCAACTGGCCTCAAGAAGTCAGAAACCTAGTGGGGACTGTGAATAGTCTATAAATAACAATGCACAACACGTCTATCCAATTCCATTGATCCATGGTGGGGTTAGTCTGAAATTCCTAGGTCTGCAATCCGCCAAGCCAAATTCTGCCATAATGTGACAACAGCTCTCACTTGGATGCCCTTCCCAACATCCTGGCCTCTGAGTCCCTTGACCTTTTCTCTAATAATCTCTTCACAATAACTCAGCAACCTTGAATTTCATCCTCATCATGTCACCCTTGGACTCTATCCTCTGTAACCCCCTCTAAACATTACTCTCTGACCACATTCTCCTCCCCTTCCTGTTTACCACTTCCATTTACTTTCAAACAGCTTCAACTGGGCACTCTGCTCAAATGTGCAGGCTCTGGAGCCAGACAACCTAAACATGAATCCCATCTCCTCCAATGATGAGTTGTGTGATTTAAAGTATTTCTCTACTTGGTGCCTCCATCTTAAAAATATTTTTTAAAAGATTTTATGTATTTATTTTTAGAGAAGGGAGAAAAAGAGGGAGAGAAACATCAACGTGTGGTTGCCTCTCGCACGCCCCGTACTGGGGATCTGGTCCACAACCCAGGCATGTGCTCTGAATGCAAATCAAAACCCTTTGGTTCGCAGGCCCATGCTCAATGCACTAAGCTACACCAGCCAGGGCCAGTGCCTCCATTTTAATAGAACCTCCCACAAAGGGTTGTTGAGGATAGAATGAATCAGAGAAGGACTCAGCCCATTACATGCACTCAATAAATGTTAGCTGTTATTAGTGCTTATTTAACTACTTCCATTCTACCTTTCTTTAACCTCAGTAGGACTATTTGTCTCTTGGCCTTGCAACTTTCCAATAGCTCTTCACTTATTTTTCATTCCCTCCCTGACTCAGCTTAGATTTCTATCACCCCAATAACATGCATGCCAATACTCAAAACTTCCTCCAACTTTCTGTTTGCTGTTCAGTCTTTTTGGCAAGACCTCAAGCATGAGTGAAACCAACTATCCAGGTTCTATGGGCCTGACCTCAACATCTTGCTGAGCAGTGCTGGAGGGAGTCACACAAAAGAGCATATTAGTTACGCTATAAATCCATCTTCATAAACCTCAAGTGCAGCCACAGCAAGGCCCAGCAACTGCACTACCTTTCTCTGATCTAAGTGTTCTCTCTGTTTCTGCAAAGCAGTTTTCAACTCTTTTACCTCGCAACCCTCTGACACACCACCCCTCTGCTTCAGCAGATGACTTTGTTTTCTCCTTCCAAAGGGAAAAGTAGCCCTCAGATGGCAACTCACTCATCTTCCTGTTACCAAAAATAAAACTTAGCAACATATCCCTCTCTGTTATTTACAGATCTGTCCTTATAACTTAGGTCAGTCCCTCTCTCCTGTGCTATGTGAGTCCCATCACCTCATCTTTTAAATGACTTTCATTAACTACCCCCCTACCTCACATAGATTCAACTTGTCCTCATGGAAAATTCTTTTACCAGCTTTTCACACTCTCAAGTCTCTCCCATTTAAACACATGCACACACACACCTGACTCCACACATCCCCCTTCATCTTCTTCCCAGTCTCTTCTCTCCGGCTCAAGGCCACACTTCTTGAGAGAGGTGTCCAAGCGCCTGTCTCAGTCCCCACACCCTTCACTGCTTGTGCTTCACACTGTGATCGGGGCAGATACAGCTCTTCAACGCCACCATCATAGCCTACATTCCCTCATTTCCCCAATACACTTATATCAGATAACGTGGCAGGTACATTTTTTTAGAGCTAAAATTTCTGAAAATGTCTTTATTCTACACATATAGTTTATCTGGACATAAAATCCTAAATTGAAAATAATCTTCATTCAGCATTTTGAAGGCAATGCTTCATAACCTTTTTTTTCTGATATTGCTGTTAAGCAGCCCAGTGCCACAGACCCGACTTGTCACCAGCTGTGCATGGACCTTCTTTCCCCATATTCTTCCCGTACTCAAAGTGTTAAAACTTCTCTCTGAATCTATAATGCTTTGAAATTTAATGATAATAGATCTAGTATGAATCTAATTTTCAATGTATTATGCCAAGCACTAAGTGGGTTCTCTATAAAGTGAGATCATCCACTTCTGGCATTTCTTCTTGTATTATCTCTTTAATGGTGTCCTCTCCTCTATTTTCTAGGGGCTTTGCTTTAGAAATTTTATTAGTTGAATGTTTGATATCCAGGTTTGATCATTTTGTATCCTTCTTTCCATATATTTGTTTTATTTTAATCTACTTTTGAGAAGATTTCCTTATCTTTATCTTCTAAAACTTCTATTAATTATTTTAAATTCTGGCACATTAAAGTCTAGGAAAGAACTTATATTCACTCTTTCCTTTTAATATCAAGTTTTTCATTTTCCAAAGATAATATTTATACTTTGAAAAAACTTTTTCTGTTTCTTATATTATCTCTGTTTTCTGTGAGCCCCACCGCACACAACTCCTAATTTTTTCTGCCTCTGTCTCTCCAAACAAAAGTGTCCTCAAATGCCAGGTGACTGTGGCTGTCTCTCAAGCACTGTGCACTAAAAAGACTGGAAACCTCTGGATGGAGATCGTGTTAACTGATGGCTTTGCTGATGTGTGGAACAAAGTGATGTGGGTAGTCTCAACTGTTTCATCAGCGAATCCTTTGAAAGTTTATATCTGCAGATTTTTTCTCTTGTATCTGTCCATTTCTTTTTTTTAAATAATTTTTTTAAGATTTAATTTATTTATTTTTAGAGAGGGGAAGGGAGGGAGAAAGAGAGAGAGAGAGACATCAATGTGTGGTTGCTTCTCATGTGGCTCCCACTGGTGACCTGGCCTGCAACCCAGGCATGTTCCCTGACTCGAACCTGTGATGCTTTGGTTCACAGCCCATGCTCAATCCACTGAGCTATGTTAGCCAGGTGTCCATTTCTTTTTTTAAATTTTTTTTCCATCACCATTTATCCTCCCATACCCTTTTCCACCTCCACCCACCGCTGACTCCCCTGCAATCACCACACTGTCCACTTCTTACTGTGAGATTCTCTAATCTCACGCCTGGGACATACAAACCAGGCTTCTAGCATTCTAGGAATGAAGAGACAAGGGAGACATTTAGGAAGCGGATTTTCACTCTCTTGATTTTTTTCCTATAGCCACAATTTTGGTCTCTTTTACCAAGCTAATTCTCTTCAACTACGCCCAATAAATGCTGGAGTTTCTCACAGCTCTGTCATTGGCTTGGTCTTTGCATTCTATTTACGCTATCTGTCAGTACACAGATAGCAGACAGCTTCATCTCTAGTTCATATTTCAATTAATCTTTAAGAAATTTGTATTTCAGTTGAGACAGCTAACCCAGCTCCTGACTTATAGACAACAATCCACATGAATCTCACACTTGGACTTCTCAAAGGTACCACAAATTCAACACACAAAAACCAAAAAGTTATCCCTTTCAAGCCTGTAATGTCCTGGTGATTGTCATTTAGTGCATTGTACTTAAATCCATGAAACTGTACAACTGTGGTCTTCGTTCTTGACATCTTTCATTCCTTTACCCTCACACTGATCCTGTCAGCTCTATTAATTTTACCTCCAGATGGATTTTGAAACCACCTACACCCTTATGTCTCCACACTAACCCACTGGCTCAAGATCTCATTCTCTTTGGCCAGGCCTCGTAGGAGAGCCTGCTGCCTGGTCTCTCTGTTTCTGCGATTATTCCCTCCCACCTTCTCTCCACAGAACAGTAAGGGTCACCTCTACACAATAAATGTGACCTTGAAATCATCCCTTCTAAAAACTACTGGTCTGACAACCAAAATCCTCAACAAAGTTCAGGTGTTTTATGAGGTCTGGACCCATCTTTCTATCAAGGCTCATTTCTGGCATTTTTCTGTACACTCTCAATGCTTAAGCAACATCAGCCTTTTATTTTTTTTATGAATGCTCCCTGCTCCCTCCCATCCCGAGGCCTCTGCCTGTGCTAGCCCCTCTCCCTCTCTTTGCCTGCTTTTGTCTCAGATTCCAGCTCCAGCATCCAGTCTCAGGGAGCCCTTCCTGACCTCCTTGATTCAACAACTCAGCCAAACTTCCTCTAATAGTGCTGGCTACACAGGTGTTTGAATGGTAAAAATTTATCAAGCCATTATTCTCAGAACACGTATACTTTTCTGTATGCATGTTATGTTTCAATAAAAATATTTTATTGAATTCCCTTCACATAACTCCCCCTTGAGAACATACAGCAGTCATAACTGCACTGTTTATTACAAAAATACACTTGTAATTTGTATACTTCTTCCTCCCAAAACTGTAAACTGCCAAAGGTCAGAGACTTTCTTTAATGCTGTTTAACACAGTGCCCAGCATAAAGTAGGTACCCAATAAACATTTTCAAGTATAAAGATGAATGGCGGTGAAAAATAAATCGCACTTCCAGAAAGTACGCAGGCTTTCTTTTTCTAGCATAGAAAAGTTGAAACAAGCAGGCTTCAGGGTCTCCATGACCTGAAAAATTACAAAAACATTTGTCCATGTATTTCCTAATGAATTTTTTCCTCCTTAGAGAATGTGTCCAGCATTTCACCAGATTCTCAGAGTTCCATCATCCAAAAAGTTTAAGAACCAATGTTCTAGGCTCTGCCAGAATGTGACAGCTGTGTTCACCTAATAACAAACGCCTGGCAAAACGTGACAGTTTGATACCTTTAACAAATCATGGTGTCCCAGTATCCATTACAAAACAGAACTTCACAGTCTGGCAGTTCCTCAAGAAACAAAGAACAGAGTTACCATATGACCAGCAATCCCTCTTCTGGGTATTAAGCCAAAAAGAAACTCGAAAACATTTATTTTCAAAAATATAGGCACCTCTATGTTCATTGCAGCATGTCAAGACATGGAGACAACCAAAGTATCCCTCGATAGAAGACTAGATAAAGAAGATGTGGTACATATACAATGGAATACAACTCAGCCATAAGAAAAGATGAAATACTGCCATTTGTGACAACATGGATGAACCTTGAGAATATTATGCCAATTGAATAATTCAGTCAGTAAAAGCTAAGAACCATATGAGTTCACTCATATGTGGGATATAAAACAAACTCAGAGATATAGACAACAGTATGGCGGTTACCAGAGGGAAGGGAGTGGGGGGAGTAAAGGGTAAAGGGGGTCAAACATATGGTGACGGAAGATGATTTGACTTTTGGTTGGTGGGCACACCCCATGCACACACAATGCATTATCCTAGTCATGTATCACAGAAATGTGTAGAAATTAAAAAAATAAAAACAGAAAAAAAAAGAATGCCCTATTATTAAAGTCCTTGAGATTTTTCCATGCTGATGACAAATCTTGGTTTTAAATGTTAGAGTCAATGTGTCTAACTAGGGATGTGTGTCCAGGGGCACAGTAAAATATGTGTGAAGATATGTGTGAAAATATGTGTTCTGAACAAGAGTAACAAGGTCAGGGACATTTATAGGACATTTATAGTGAAAAGAAACAAAGGATGGGCTTTAGCTCATCCATGGCAGCATGCAGCAATGGCTAATCTCCTCAGAACACATGTGTTGAATGAGACCTTTCAAGTGACACACAGAGCCAGGCAGACGGCTCCGGGGCTGCTCAGGCAACATCAGACTGGCCTCTGCCCCGGATGGTGCCAATGAGAGGGCCTGGCGACCACTCACTACAGTCGCATCTCTGTTTCACAGGAAGCCAACAGAAAATGTATCTCAGTGTACAAGTCACTAAGTCTGGATTTGAGAACATATATGCTCCGAACTATTTCAAGCACTCAGTTTGAAAAAAAAATGCAAATTTTGGTATATTTTAGCCAAAGTTTGTAAGCTCATTTTTCAGTATATTGAAATCAAAATGACCACCTGTTCAACATGTGTAATTATTTTATTTAAGGAATGATAACAAAGAACACTAATAATTAAGAATGAGAAGTTGTCACAATCTATTTAACAATACTCAGACAATGCCACATTCTTAACATATTCAGTGAATCCCACTGACCCCACCTCCTCAACACACATATAAACACAGGTGCACTTGAAAGTTTTTCCCAGAGGTATTGTCCCAGTTTTAAGCGTTGTCCAAACTGAACCAATCCTTGGTAGGGAAGGAAGCAGAAAACCTTTCCCCCTGCCTTATTTAAATGATGGTTCATCATCCCTGCCTTTTTCAGGTGTACAGACCTGGCTCCTAATCCCAGAGCTATGCTACAAGGGACAGTGACTGCAGAAGTGAGGTGGCAATGCGGGGCCAGGGACTGTCCATCGGCACTCAACCCCATCCCATCCCGTCTGCAATCTGCCCTGCAGTGCCAAGACGAGATGACTGAAAATTACCTTTTCTGGGCTCCGTTGCCAGCTGCATTCTAATCGGAGAAACACTCAGGTGAGATCTGAAGGCAGGGGAAAGGGGAAGCAACTATGCTCTGGCAGTAGGTGTGGCACCCACTCTTGCACTGCTGAGAAGTGGGGATTCCACACTGTTAGCTACAGTGGTGGTTCCTCCAGCAATGTCAGCAGCAAGCACAGGCTCATGAGAGCCAGCTCAAAGGCAAGAGAAACTTCTGGACCTCTAGGTAACACCCCCTTGTCTCCTTTTATTCTTCCAGCCCAGGGGCAGCACAGCATCCAGATCTCAGAGTTGTACCATGTCTCTGCCTATTGTTCCTTCAAAACCACTGACATTTGTGCATCAAAATTCCTTGCATTAATGCCTCTCTGCTAAAAATGCCTCAGAAGCCCTGGCCTGGGTGGCTCAGTTGGTTGGAGCGTCATCCCATGGACCAAAAGGTCACAGGTTTGATTCCTTGTCAGGGTACATACCCAGGTTATAGGTTCAATCCCTGGTTGGGGCACCTACGAGAAAGCAACCAATCAATGTGTATCTCTCACAATCTCTCTCTCTCTTCCCCTCTCCCCCCCTCTCTCCGCCCCCCAACCCTAAAAGCAATGAAAAAATATCCTTGGGTGAGGATATAAATAAATAAATAAATTCCTTATGACTGAATGATGCAAATGCCCATTTCTATATGGTTATTATAAGAATCAAGTGAGAATATACAGGAAGCAATTTGTTCAATACTTAGAACATGATAAATGCCAATTATCATTCCATCATTTATCTAATCGTTGTTGGTCATGATTTCTTTCCCCCTTATCAGTCCCACTAGCTGAAGGTGACACAGACCTTTCTCTTCTTAACCATCAAAGGATTTTAGTGATTTGGACCTGGTTTGAGAAAGCTGGGAATAAGTCTCTGGAAAACTGGCAGAAGAAGGAAGAATACAACAGGGTGGATCAGCAGGAGGTACAAACAGGGCACAGAAGAAAGATGGGCCTGTTTGTGTTCCTGATCCACAGTGTATGCAAAAGGAATCGTGATGGTTGTGTGAGAACGTGATTTGAACTTCTCATAATTATAAGAGTCACTTATAAAATACTGCTTATGTGAACACAAAGTAAGTCACTGCCCCCGTCACGCAGGAATGAAGTGGATGCCACTGGTATGTCATTTCCAGGTCTCCTTCTCTTGGGCCTGTCACATTGCCCAGCCTGCTCTGCAAAGAGAGTCCCAAACTTCTAGACATGGATTTTTTAAAAAATTAAAGTGTACACACATGCAAATGTAATCACAGAAACAATCTAACTTGCTGGATAAAATGTAACAGTGTTCGTTTACTCTGTGCTCTGAAAGGAGTTTTACTCGTGTTTATACAATAATATCAGGTTGGAGAGTAGACCACATAGCTTCACCTGAGATTAATCTATGAACACAATGTTGTCTTCTCAGGCCGAAACATTTAATATCTTTTATGTATTAATATATAGCCTTAATATAATATGTTATACAATGCAATACACACACTATACAATATGTATATAGTTAAAATATATATGTATATTCTTAACTTATCAGTCTTAACTATGATACAGATAGCACATTCCTGTTACTATTTTTGAAATCATTCTCTGAAACTCTGGCTGTTTAGGAGAAATGCTCGGGATCCTTAGCTCACCTTTTCTCAGAAAACCTAAGCTTTCTGTTACCTTGGGGAGACAGCCACAACACTATGAGAATAACCTGTAATACGAAAGTGATGGGGACCCAGAGCTTCTGTTGAAAATGAAAATCGGGGCTATGCTCAGCTTACCGTCTCCTTGCTGGCTGCACAGAGTCGTTGTCGCTCCCACAAGAGGGGTTTCGGCGGCGAGCGTAGGGGAACTTTGGGGATTTCGTGCGGTCATTGGGGGAGTTGTAGAGTCCACTAGAGTAGAAGAACAATGGTCAATAATCCCTGCAGAGGACCTGGGGGAGCAGCACCCTAACTCTAAAACCCAATGCTTCTAGGGAAGAGTTCATAATTACATAGCTGGTACTTTTGGGGGAATACTGAATCGTGGGCAAACAGTTCTTTTGGCTGACAAGGTATACTGAAAGAAGAGACAGGTAAGATTTGGTAAAACAAATCATAAAGTCATTGTTTTGCAGGAATGGATCTGTCCAGAAACAAATGATAGCAATAATAACGACAACAAACTGTGTTTACAGTGAACCTACCACAGGCCAGGCACTGACCAAGCTAAAGGCTTTGTATTCCTTACCTTAGCTAATCGTCATATCAACCCTAAGTACTGCAATACAACCATTAGGCCCATTTAACAATGAGAGAGAGAGAGTTAGAAAATGGCAGAGCTTGAATTGGAACCCCTGGGTGTTCATACTTGAAACCACTGTAACTATCTAGCCTGTAAGTTAGAATGCAGTTCTGTCATTGGATGGGTCATTATGAACAAAAGAAATGAAATATACATCTTTAGGAATGAAGGTCTTCTAGAATCCCTATTCATAAACTACAGTTTTCAACTAAAGTTTTCATAAGAACAAAGAAATTGGAGAAATTATCATTAATATATTTCACTTAGAGTTTTCAGGAAGGCATTACTTTAAACCATTACAATGACCTTCCTGGGAAGTTTCTTAATGCCCACTGGTTTCCCTTCCATTGTTCCAGGGGAGAGTTTCCCGCTAGGACACGTCCTGTGGGTCTCTATGTCAGAAGTTCCCAGTCACACTGGGTTAGCCCTCTGACCGCCTTGTCCAGTGCCAGTCCTGAGCAGCCACAAAGCACTTGGATTCCATTATTTGACAGGAGCAATTGCTAACCCCTTTTCTAATGTTCTGCTTTAGAAAAACAATGATTCCCTTTACCTCTGGGGGCCATTTTCTTCCCATGGTGCATGAGATTTGCTTCTCTGGGTATCGGGGCTATTTTCATTCTTTGCCTTCTTAAAGCTTTAATTAAAAAAAAAAGTACAGAAAACAAATTAACTAGATAGTAAAAGGAAGTTAACCCACACACTTATTTCTTCAGTAAAACTACTTAACAAATGTTTAAAAATGTGTGTTTATTTATACCCATGACTCATTCCAAAAAGAATATGAGTGGCCACCTAAAAAAAAATAGAGACAGGTATCCAGCAAATTTGTACTTTTGAGTTTTTTTACCCCTCTTTCTATTTTTACTGCTTTAAGTGAACAGAAGCCCAGTCATCCACTGTTAAGAAACTTTCAAGAGAGCCCACCTGCAGGACAGAAGCAAGGGCATCCTGGCTGGTGAGCTGGCTCCCTCTTTTTAGGAGTGGTCAGAGACCCCCTGGCTCTGGATTTGGGTCTGAATCTGTGCAGGCTGGTCAGCTCTGGGCAGGTTGGGGCTACCCACACTGACCTTTCCCTGCCCCCAGCTTCCGCCATTTCTTGGCATCATCCTTCCAAACCAGAATGACTTTCAAATGCTATTTCCTGACCTAGTATCATCTTTCTGCCCTAAGAAAGTAAATATATCTGGGTTGTTACTCGATCTCAACAAATTGTTTAGAAACACATGGGAGACACTCGGAAGGGATGAATCAGAAGCCTTTGTCACCAGAGGGGTCACCAGAGGGGGAGACAAGGTGCGTCACCTCTCACTTCCCATCCTGCTTTCAGAGTCTCAGCCTTCAGAAAAAGGTAGAGCTACTGAACTCCTAATGCACTTTTAACCCTGGCTTTTTGAGGAAAACTCTAATAATGGTCTTCAAACATGGTCATAGCAGGGTTCTTTATAACAGCCAAGAAAAGGGAGAGAAAAAGTTGACAAGGTAATTTCAAAAAATGAAAAGAAACTTGTATCCCATTATGAACATATAACATATAAACATATAGGAATATAAGTCTGAAAATATATTTGAAAAAAGCACATAATTCATAACATTGGAACATAGTAAGTAGTAATAATATCATAATAATCAACCTATTATAGATGAAGAATATGTTATTTTTATAAAGTTAAAAATCTTTGGAAGATCAAATTTCCAAAGTAAAAGCTTACGTTTGAACTGAGGAAAAGTAATAAACATGGTAGGTATTGAATACAACAGTAGAAAGTGTGCACACACACATGCATGTGAGTGTGTTTAGTAAATCACAGGGAAAAGCGAGAAAAGGGAGATTGAGAAATGGAATAGCGAGGGGAAAGGGCAAGTGGGAGAGTAGGCCTAAGTTAAAGAACAACAAAATCCTGGGCAGCAAATTAACAGCATTCGCTCCCTAAGCTATTTCTCATCTACAGCTTGAGTGGGAAAATTCTGGCAGCCCTTTAAGTATCAGGCCTATTGGCAAGAATGCAATTACAAAGGAGACTGAACTCCTTCTATACATTCTAAAGAGCTTCGGATCTGAATTTCACGGAAAATTACTGTCCTTCTGTTGGACTTACACAGCACACCCGGTACATACAGATTAAGCCAACTCTCTCTACAGCTGTGAGGCTGACTAAAGGAGGCACAGCACACTCAAGTGTCTGCAAAGGCAAAGAACTTGTCAGTCCAAAAAGAGAATCTGTACAGGGAATGTTCTAAACCTAAACAAAAGAAAATGTGATCAAAACCCTGGGGAAAAAAACACTGCAACTCTGAGACTCCTCATATCTTGAAATCATTATGCTGAGAAATTATAAACTGTATTTCTCCAAGTAGTCAAAATCCAGATGAATGAAGACACCATTATTTACTAACAAGATGGAGTAGATGATCGAAGAATTCTTTCTAGGTCAGGCATTTCTGACTGCTTGCACTTCTCCGTGGTGTGTGCGGAGTGATCTCTGGAGAGAAAGTGAGCGGATGAAAGCTGCTCATTGTACTTCTAACACGCTGTCCCATGAACATAATTGGAGATAGGAAAAAATGACACTGAAACTGTGTCTTAGAAAACAAGGCTGATCTTCCAGGGAAACAGTCCGTGTAATACATTAAGGAAGGTTTTTCCACCAGGGAATGCTGCTGGGAAAACTGATGCAGAGGACCATGACAGCTCTTCATACATATGCAGTGGCTGACTTCTGAAGCCCTGTGCCGCTAAACGCTGTAAACCCCCTTTCCAAGGCCACAGCTAGTGCGCCACTGTGATGAACATAGTACATTAAACATGAATATCATCTACTTTATTTCTCAGGTCCCTCCGAGTTGGTCCATTATATCACGCCATTTAAAAAATCACACGGAATTTTCACTTCGCTGCTGAGAACACAAACTGCTGATTATCTTTGAGTTCACCACGCTGTGACAGCAGGAACGTCTCCTTCAAACGAGACGGGCAGGGCCTGGTGCTGCATAATTCACTGGCATTTTAAAGTATTCTTTGGCCCCCAGACTATTTTGATCAAAAGTATCAGTGAATTATCAAAGGGAAAAGATTCTGAACGTTGCTCACAGGGAAAATCATCTTTGTGACAGCCTCTACAAAGTGTTATGTTCCTTCAGTTGACCGACTGACCTTTTTACTGGTGAAGGTGCAATGATTTTAGTTGTTCCTTCATTTTCTCCATTCTCAACATTTGCAGGTACCCGACTTATGCTATTTGATCCTAGGAACAGAGAGGGAAAAGAAAAGACAGAAGAGGACACAGTGATCAGGAAAACACAAAGACGTAAAAGTGTTACTTTAAAATGCAGTTTTAGGGATGTCATGGCACAATGTATCAATGAATTACAATTCCAAATAAATAATGGATTGGACAATAAATCTGAGGTGCTACTTTCCGACAATGTAAAAATAAAACCTCAACCCTCAACAAAACAATGTCCTATGGGGTGTGGGTTATGACACCACTTTAAAATGGGACCTTTTGAGATGTTAAGAGTTAACTCCCTATATCATGGAGAGTCTTTGCTTTACACTGTTGAAAGTAACATTCCAAGATATTTAGTACTTCATCTTGAAATGTAAAACCTAACAATTGATAACTACACTGTAAAGAAGTTACCATTTGTTGGTATGCCATGATAGCTTCCATTCTAAAACAAACAAGACAGTTTCAAACTTGAAAATATGAAAATATTCCAGCTCGTTATACAAATGGCAAAAAAGAGTAATGCAGAAGTGATCAGTCACTTCTATATCAGTCACACACACAAGTAAAGTTTTCAAGTGTATTTGTGCAAACATCCCTAAAAACCTACAACTGACTTTGTACAAGCTGTTACTCCACAGATTTGCATACACGCTAGGTGGGCCAGCAGAGGGAGCCCCCAGCAGACACGGCACTGGAGCTTACACAGAGCTCAGTGAGAGCCCATCTAGAAGTCTGGGTCCCATGCTCAGAACAGGGGCTGATAAGCCTGCAGGGTAAAGTATGAGGGCACTAATGATGTCTCTTCGCAAATGACATGTTCCTCATTCGGATGCCGCGGGGGAAACCAGCAAGGGAATGCCCGAGGTCCTTGTTCAAATAAATCGGTACCACGCAGGTATACCCACCTCAGAGAGGTATCTTATGATGGGACAGGCACAGTTTGAGTCCTTCAGTACAAAGTGTCATTACCACTAACAGTTTTCAAGTAATGAAATAAATTTGTAATATTAATAAAAACTAATATTTATTGAGCACTTACTATGTGCCAGGTGCTATTCCAAGCTCTTCACATCTCTCTAGCTGCTAATGTAATCCTCAAAATAATCATATAAAGTAAATATTGATATAATCCCCACTTTTAAAGATTAAAAAATGGACCTTTCCCAAGGTCCCCACAGCTTATGAGTGGGGGTGGGGGGAGGGAGCAGCTTTGGAACCCGGCAATGTAGCTGCAGAGACGGCTGTAAACCACCAGCACACACGGTCCCCCATGTGCCCTCTGTGCCCCGCCCTCCAAGAGTTAAAAAGTCAGTCTACATGGGGAGTCCACTAGGACAAGACAGACTCTTCAGAAAATAAACGAAAAGAATGTCCCATGAGGAGAGCATCCAGAGGGTGACCAAGAGAACTTTTTTCTCTCAAAGGCAACTGAAACTGAAAGTCTACAAGAGAAACACTGAGAACCCCCTCCTTGACCCCAAAGTTTGGAATTTCTTCCAGAGCAGTTTGCAGGCAGGTCTGACTTCCCATCGGGAAAGGTAAACATGAGTGAATATACCCTGGACGGAAAAGACAAACAGTGATTTCAAATAAGAGGTTTAAAAACCTTTATTCTAAGGAATTGGACATGAATTCAGTATCTGATTTGGTCCCTGGTTTGTAACCCTGAAATGGAGCAGTTGAAGATGCACTTGGCATTAAAGACTAGCTCAAGCTAAAGCAACTTTCAGAATCCAGGCATTAGAAAATAATGACATTGGGGCCCACGGGAAATTTCACCAGGAAATCCCATAATAAATGGGGCACAGTTCCCTTGAACAATCCCATGTGCTGTCTTATACAGCAATGGCCACTGTTCATTTTGCCAGGGCCATTAATAAAATTGTAAGGGCAATTCCCAAAATTGCAGGCACAGATTTGAGAAGGAGCTACTTCTTACAGATGGGACTCTGTGTGGTATGACCCTGGGGCAGTAGCAGGAGGGATTAATTCATTTGGGCCCCAGACATTGTTCCTAATAAATGTTTTGTTTTTTGTTTTTTTTTTTTGCTCTCAGCAGGTATTATTCATTCATAAAAATGAAAGGGAACTTCAGGTACCTTGGGCTGCTTTCCTAGGCTGGGAGGGGAAGGAGGCAGAGCAGAGAGACCAACTCCCACCGCCCACAGCCCCTGTCCAAAGAGCACTGAGTACAGGTCAACATCATGTTAACCAAACACCATGTAACTAGCTCAAGAATAAGCCCAGGTTTGCTGCAACCCCACCCTGTTACACTGATTAGTGTCTTCTTAACCTAACATCTAATCACCATGGGGAATGGAAGGTTGCTTCTCACATTCACTCCTTCCATCCATCTCTTCCAAAGAAATTAATAAACAGGTAGACAAACAACTGAGGAATATTTTTAAATAGAAAAAATTTCAAACTATATAAGCATATATATTTTCTTAAAGAAACCAATATTTGGTTTTTCACAATATCCCAATCATAATTTTTAAAATGAAACACTAAATGGACTGTTTTCCAAAGGAATTTTGGGGAGGATAAAACCATGTCCACGCTCTGCCTCTCTCAGACACTCACAAGCAGTACAGCCAGGCTTCCTCAAAACAGACTGTCTGCCTGTCAGGACTCTGTCACTAACACAGCAGTCATAACTGTCACACACACAACCTAAGTGAGGTAACACACAGCCAATCATACAACCTAATTCATGGCTCTTTCATACTGAAAACAGTGGGTAACTAACTAAAAATCTGTCCTCAAGGATTCCCCTACTCTATAACTATGTGAACGGAATGACCCTGGGTTTGGGGGGCGGGGTGGGGGTGTTGCATTTTGTTGTTGTTCTTGTTCTATTACAGTTGTCCCAATTTTCCCATGTTGCTCTTCCCTACCCTGCATGCCACCCCCTCCCATTGTCCATGGGTCATTCATACCTGTTCCTTGACTAGACCCTTCCCCTTCTTTCCCTCCATATTCCTCTCTCCCCCTCCCCTCTGGTCCCTGTCAGTTTGTTCTTTGTTTCCATGCCTCTGGTTTTATTTTTCTCATTTGTTTCTTTTGTTCATTAGGTTCCACTTAAATGTGAGATCATATGGTATTTGTCCCTCACTGCCTGACTTATTTCACTTAGCATAATGCTCTCCAGTTCCATCCATGCTGTTGCAAAGGTTAGGAGCTCCTTCTTTCTTTCTGGTGCTTAGTATTCCATTGTATAAATGTGTCACAGTTTTTTGATCCACTCATTTATCGATGGGCACTTAGGCTGTTTCTAGCCTTGGCTATTGTAAATAATGCTGCTATGAACATTAGGTTGCATAGATTCTTTTAAATTGGTGTTTCAAGACTCTTGGGACAACCCTGGGTTTTAAGACCTTTACTAGGAACACAGACTTACAGGGGGAAAAGCTCCTTCCAAGCAATAACTTACTGGAAGCACCTCTGAAGTATCCATTCATATAATATTCAAATGCTAACTAAAAATTATACTCTTTTCTATTCATGAATGTAGGGTTCTTAAAAAGCATTACTTATTAGCTTTATATGACTGAATGTGCCTTTAAAAGTAATAACTACACTTTTGAAACACTGTATATTAATCATCTTCCTAATTAGGTTAAATTAGTGAGATTTTGCTCATACTACCATTTGAGAAGAAAGCTATGCAAGTCATTCAAGCTAGTTATGTGTTGGTTCCTGAAATATGAAAAGGTGGGAAATACAAGTTATGCACTATTTAGGTTTACTGAATTTCCACTTTGCCAACATCCACTCAATGGCTTTTTCTCCCCTCATCAGACCACCCTCCAGAACTGCCCCTTCTACATTAGCTCGGTTCTCAGGCTATGGAGAAAAGGGGATCTGACAAGCCCTACACATGGACGGGCTCATGTCTTCATGCATTATTGGCTACAGAATAGTTCCATAGGAAAGAGGAAAGGGAGAAGCCAAATATTAACTAAAATAATTAATTGATAACAATAAAATTTTAGGCTGTTCCAGGGGATATTTTGAGGGTGGAGGAATCCTTCTTCTCCATTCCATAAATTATAACGGGCCCCCGAAAATAAACATATGAACAGTTTAACAATCTATTATAAAGTGAATGGCTACTTAACTACTCCTCACCTCAAGAAATAAAGAATGAGGGCAATTTTCCTACACTATACAAATCACTTCATTTGGGGTAACAGTTTCCATCTAAATATAACTAGAAACAGAAAGCATTACGTGTTCATTTTGTAAAATATTTATAGTATACACAATAATATTATTAACAATTAAATTTTTAACAAAAGTTAGTAAGGTCTCAAAATCTTTTGAGGCATAATTCACATATAACATGATATTAACAACATAACTATTTGATATTTGTATACATTGTGAAATGATTACCACAATATGTCTGGTTAATATCTGTCACCAAACATAACTACAGAAAATTTTTTCTTATGATGAGACCTTTTAAGATCTACTCTCTTAGCAATTTTGAAATGCAACACAACCCTGGCTTGTGTGGCTAAGTGGATTGAGTGCTTGCCTGTTTACTGAAGGGTCACCAGTTTGATTCCTAGTCAGGACACATGCCTAGATTGCAGGCCAGGTCCCCAGATAGGAGTGTATAAGCGGCAACCGATTGATGTTTCTCTCACACATCCATATTTCTCTCCCTCGCTTTCTCCCTCCCTTCCCTTCTCTCTGAAAATAAATAAGCAAAATCTTCAAATATATGCAACACAGTGTTGTAAACTGTAGGCACTATGCGGTATGTTACGTTCCTGGGACTTATTTATTTCATACGGCCTCAAAATCATCATAAGATGGAGGATACATCACTGCCCCTCCCCCCCAAGACTGCCAGCACAGTGTGTTACACATGGTAGGTCAGGATAATTATGTCACATGTAAAAAGTGTCAAAAGTAAGACAATAAAAAACCCCTGAATGTGGTAGTAAGGGTGACAAAGGCCTAGAGAACATGTGCCACACCCTGCAAGAGTGGTCTACTTC